ACTATATGAGATACAGCCAAAACATGCGAAATCTGTGATCACTTTTATTTCCCAACAAAAATCGATATTTTGAGTGAAAACGTATAACGAACTCTAGTTATAATCTAATTATTGATTTTTAGTTGGCCAATTAGTTTACTTTTCTTGTTTATTAGGGTGTATAAGGAATTAGTGAATTAGCTTAAAATGTTAATTACTGTTTGGTTGCACTAAATGTATCTTATCTGTTTGAATAAGTTTAAATCTTGTTCACATTTTATAGTTGTTGTAGAAATGTACTTAAAATCGGCAAGTTCTAATCATCACTAATTTGACATGGTGTTATTATAATCAATCTTTCTACCCCCCAGGAATCAAAAACGAAACACAAAATAGAGCAAATATATTGATAACAAACATAGAAATTGCATTATTGCTTGCTAGAAAGCGAGATACCAATATTTGCAGGAGAACATAAGAAGCTTATTTCGTTTTCAACACCCCCCTCAAGTCATATTTTATAAAGATTTCTGTAATGACTTCATGATGTTAATGTTAAATTCGTACTAGATGTGCTTGAACTAGCGCTGAACTAGAACCAAAATAAACTGAACTAGAATTGAACTAGAACTGAACTAGAACTGAACTAGAGATTATCTAGAACTGATCTAGAACTGAACTAGAACTGAACTAAAACTGAACTAGAACTGAACTAAAACTGAAATAGAACTGAACTAGAACTGAACTAGAACTGAACTAGAACTGAACTAGAACTGAACTAGAACTGAACTAAACTAGAACTGAACTAAAACTAATCTAGAACTGAACTAGAACTTAACTAGAACTTAACTAGAACTGAACTAGAACTGAACTAGAACTAACTAGAACTGAACTGAACTAGAAACTTAACTAGAACTGAACTAGAACTGAATTTAGTTAGAACTGAACTAAACTGAACTAGAACTATAACTGAACTAGAACTGAACTAGAACTGAACTAGAACTACTAGAACTGAACTAGAACTGAACTAGAACTGAACTAGAACTGAACTAGAACTGAACTAGAACTGAACTAGAAAGAACTGAAACTAGAACTGAACTAGAACTGAACTAGAACTGAACTAGAACTGAACTAGAACTGAACTAGAACTGAACTAGAACTGAACTAGAACTGAACTAGAACTGAACAGAAACTGAACTAGAACTGAACTAGAACTGAACTAGAACTGGAACTGAACTAGAACTGAACTAGAACTGAACTAGAACTGAACTAAACTGAACTAGAACTGAACTAGAACTAGAACTGAACTAGAACTGAACTAGAACTGAACTGAACTGACTAGAACTGAACTAGAACTGAACTAGAACTGAACTAGAACTGAACTAGAACTGAACTAGAACTGAACTGGAACTGAACTAGAACTGAACTAGAACTGAACTAGAACTGAACTAGAACTGAACTAGAACTGAACTGGAACTGAACTAGAACTGAACTAGAACTGAACTAGAACTGAACTAGAACTGAACTAGAACTGAACTAGAACTGAACTAGAACTGAACTAGAACTGAACTAGAACTGAACTAGAACTGAACTAGAACTGAACTAGAACTGAACTAGAACTGAACTAGAAACTGAACTAGAACTGAACTAGAACTGAACTAGAACAGAACTAGAACTGAACTAGAACTGAACTAGAACTGAACTAGAACTGAACTAGAACTGAACTAGAACTGAACTATAACCGAGCTAGAACTTAACTAGAACTGAACTAGAACTGAACTAAAACTGAACTAGAACTGAACTAGAACTGAACTAGAACTGAACTAGAACTGAACTAGAACTGAACTAGAACTGAACTAGAACTGAACTAGAACTGAAGTAGGATTGAACTAGAACTGAACTAGAATTGAACTAGAACTGAAGTAGAACAGGAACTGAACTAGAACTGATCTAGAATTGAACTAGAATTACACTAGAGCTATTACGTCGACTTAATTGAGAACAAAATTGATTTTTTTTGCAATTTTTTACTTAATTTAAAACACTTTATTTTACAATAAAATAACTGACATGTACCACACGAACATGAAATTTTATTTCGTTTATCATTATAATTTTTATAAGTTTTTACATATTTTTCTTTATGAATTTCTTATAATTAAGTAAAATATTTTTTTTTAAGTTTTATATAGAAAAAGTTTACATTAATTTTAATGCGAATAGGGTTGTATTTATTATTTTAAATTTTTGGTTTTATCAACAATGGTTTTCATTTTAATTAACGATATTATTTATTTAATAATTTAGATTCAAATGTATTTGGGGTTTTAAAATATTTACAATTTATTAATAACATTTTTATAAAAATTTGTAATTTTAACATTTATAGAAGTTATGTGTAAAATTTTATTTGAAGTTTTTATCCATCAAAGAAGAAAGAGCATTAGCATGGCGCTAGTCCCCAATTGTTATGTGACCTGTTTAGCTTCGACTTTTATAATAAATGGAATTTGTCGTTATAACATAACGTTATGCTTGTAGTCTATAATCTAATCTGAATGAATCTCTTTCTCCATTAACATATCTTATGGCGACTTTGTCGACTTGGAAACCTTAAAAAATCTTCTCTGAAAAAAGTTCAAACTCTTAATTTAACATTATTTATTTCTTGATTAACTTATGGAAATACTTATTTTTTAAAACTATTATTTCTAAATTGTTTTTACTTAAGATCATCACAAACTTATTTTATAAAAATTTTATTTTACATAGTGATATTTAAATTCTGTAAAACGTTGGTTTATTAAAAACATCAAATTCTCATATACCCAAAAGGTTTCATCTGTCATAGAATTATTATTTTACATTTTATTAAAAATATTATTTTCTTTTTTACATAAAATTTAAATGTTCAAACCATCTGCTTAAAATTGGTCTCATTTATATTGGCTATTTCTGACTAACGGTTGAATGAAGGTTTTTAATAAAATAAATCTTAAATTTTTGTGTCTCAAAGTTAAAACAGATTTCATGTAGTGTTGATGATGCACATATCATGAAGATAACTACTATTTTTTAGGAGAAAATGGGTAGACTTCTTAATTAGAACAGAAATAGAACTGAACCAGAACTGAACTAGAACTGAACTAGAACTGAACTAGAACTGAACTAGAACTGAACTAGAACTGAACTAGAACTGAACTAGAACTGAACTAGAACTGAACTAGAACTGAACTAGAACTGAACTAGAACTGAACTAGAACTGAACTAGAACTGAATTAGAACTGAATTAGAACTGAACTAGAACTGAACTAGAACTGAACTAGAACTGAACTAGAACTGTACTAGAACTGAACTAGAACTGAACTAGAACTGAACTAGAACTGAACTAGAACTGAACTAGAACTGAACTAGAACTGAACTAGAACTGAACTAGAACTGAACTAGAACTGAACTAGAACTGAACTAGAACTGAACTAGAACTGACTAGAACTGAACTAGAACTGAACTAGAACTGAACTAGAACTGAACTAGAACTGAACTAGAACTGAAACTGACGGAACTGAACTAGAACTGAACTATAACTAGAACTGAACTAGAACTGAACTAGAACTGAACTAGAACTGAACTAGAACTGAACTAGAACTGAACTAGAACTGAACTAGAACTGAACTAGAACTGAACTAGAACTGAACTAGAACTGAACTAGAACTGAACTAGAACTGAAATAGAACTGAACTAGACTGAACTAGAACTGAACTAGAACTGAACTAGAACTGAACTAGAACTGAACTAGAACTGAACTAAACTAGAATGAACTAGAACTAGACACTAGAACTAGAACTGAAACTAGAACTGAACATGAACTAGAACTGAACTAGAACTGAACTAGAACTGAACTAGAACTGAACTAGAACTGAACTAGAACTGAACTAGAACTGAACTAGAACTGAACTAGAACTGAACTAGAACTGAACTAGAACTGAACTAGAACTGAACTAGAACTGAACTAGAACTGAACTAGAACTAAACTAGAACTGAACTAGAACTGAACTAGAACTGAACTAGAACTGAACTAGAACTGAACTAGAACTGAACTAGAACTGAACTAGAACTGAACTAGAACTGAACTAGAACTGAACTAGAACTGAACTAGAACTGAACTAGAACTGAACTAGAACTGAACTAGAACTGAACTAGAACTGAACTAGAACTGAACTAGAACTGAACTAGAACTGAACTAGAACTGAACTAGAACTGAACTAGAAGTGAACTAGAACTGAACTAGAACTGAACTAGAACTGAACTCGTACTAAACTAGAACTGAACTAGAACTGAACTAGAACTGAACTCGTACTAAACTAGAACTGAACTAGAACTGAACTAGAACTGAACTAGAATTGAACTAGAACTGAACTAGAACTAGAACTGAACTAGAACTGAACTAAAACTGAACTAGAACTGAACTAGAACTGAACTAGAACTGAACTAGAACTGAATTAGAACTGAACTAGAACTGAACTAGAACTGAACTAGAACTGAACTAGAACTGAACTAGAACTGAACTAGAACTGAACTAGAACTGAGCTAGAACTGAACTAGAACTGAACTAGAACTGAACTAGAACTGAACTAGAACTGAACTAGAACTGAACTAGAACTAAACTAGAACTGAACTAGAACTGAACTAGAACTGAACTAGAACTGAACTAGAACTGAACTAGAACTGAACTAGAACTGAACTAGAACTGAACTAGAACTGAACTAGAATTGAACTAGAATTGAACTAGAACTGAACTAGAATTGAACTAGAACTGAACTAGAACTAAACTAGAACTGAACTAGAACTGAACTAGAACTTTACTAGAACCGAACTAGAACTGAATGGAATACTTGAATAGTTGTGTCTCACCATTTTTCCACTTTGCAGTTAAGATGTAACTATAACATCCGCTTATTTCATATTCTCTTATACTATGAAACTTACTTTAAAAGAAATGAAAATTACCGAAACTGAGAGAGTAATGGAAAAACATAGGAAGTTTTTGAAACTTCCAAATGTCCTTATATTAAGCTAAAAAGAAATCATTGTATCCCTGCATCATTTTTCGTTTTTGTTTTATTCTATATCCTTAAAACTATGACAGAGCGTTTATACTCCCTCACACATTGTAGTCAGACCATGTTGCTTGAACCCATTTCTAGAATGTCCTTTCGTTGATTTCGATGTGTTATGAAGAGCTTGACATTTACAGTGATGCAAATGTGTAGATCCCTTTAAAGCGTATTTACATGATAATGATTTTGCTGGCGCTAACGAAGTTGATTGTGAATGTAGTTGTAGTGACGCTAGAGATTTTCTTCGACCTGGACATGGTCTACTTTTTGACAGGCTGTCCATTTCGTAACACTCACGCTGACAACCATCCACAGATCCAGTAAGTGTTGCTGATGCTTTATGTTGATGATGACTTTGATGAGGATGATGATGATTCATATAATCTCACATGAGCTGATGCGAGTGCTGATGTTGATGACAGTAATCACTTGTGAGTGCCACATCTACTGTGTCATCATTTGAAAAGTTACCGGTGGCACCACCACCAACACCACTACCTCCACCTACCATATTGTTGCAACTATTATGATTGTTGCCATTCGTTAGCATTGTTATTGTGGTCTCCTGAAGGCGACTGCAAAATGAAAAGAGGATTATGATTATGCTTCTAAATGTTATATTTAGTTTAAAACCAAATGCAGATATAACATAGAGTATTACTTAATATAAGTGACTTATTATGGCGACATGTTGTGTATTTGTAGGTCATCTGGATATCAAAATAACTATAGACAAAGTAGTTAAACCTGACCTTTTAGGTGGGAAACATTATGTTGAGTGCTAAAGGTTTAACTGAACTTAAATATATCCGTAAGCGAATGAAACTAAAAGCAGTTTATCAGTTGAGTCTATAATCTAAACGATAGTCTAGTCTATAGTTGATAGTCTGCAGTTTTAACTATAGTATAGTCTATAGACTGGACTATAGTCTGGTCTGTTGTCTGAACTATAGTCTAATCTATAGTCTGGACTATAGTCTGTACAATAGTCTAGTTTATAGTTTGTAGTCTAGTCTAGTTGTCTAGTCTATAGTCTGCACTATAGCCTAGTCTATAGTCTGCACTATAGTCTAGTCTAGAGTCTGTACTATAGTCTAGTCCATAGTCTGTACTATAGTCTAGTCTATAGTCTGTACTATAGTCTATAGTCTGAACTATAGTCTAGTCTATAGTCTGAACTATAGTCTAGTCTATAGTCTGAACTATAGTCTGTACTATAGTCTAGTTTATAGTCTGTACTATAGTCTAGTCTATAGTCTGTACTATAGTCTAGTCTATAGTCTGTACTATAGTCTAGTCTATAGTCTGTACTATAGTCTAGTCTATAGTCTGTACTATAGTCTAGTCTATAGTCTGTACTATAGTCTAGTCTATAGTCTAGTCTAGTCTATAGTTTGTACTATAGTCTAAACTATACTCTAGTCTATAGTCTGTACTATAGTCTAGTCTATAGTCTGTACTATAGTCTAGTCTATAGTCTGTACTATAGTCTAGTCTATAGTCTGGACTATAGTCTAGTCTATAGTCTGGACTATAGTCTAGTCTATAGTCTGGACTATAGTCTAGTCTATAGTCTGGACTATAGTCTAGTCTATAGTCTGGACTATAGTCTAGTCTATAGTCTGGACTATAGTCTAGTCTATAGTCTGGACTATAGTCTAGTCTATAGTCTGGACTATAGTCTAGTCTATAGTCTGGACTATAGTCTAGTCTATAGTCTGGACTATAGTCTCGTCTATAGTCTGGACTATAGTCTAGTCTATAGTCTGGACTATAGTCTAGTCTATAGTCTGGACTATAGTCTAGTCTATAGTCCGGACTATAGTCTAGTCTATAGTCTGGACTATAGCCTAGTCTGGACTATAGTCTAGTCTATAGTCTGGACTATAGCCTAGTCTGGACTATAGTCTAGTCTATAGTCTGGACTATAGTCTAGTCTATAGTCTGGACTATAGTCTAGTCTATAGTCTGGACTATAGTCTAGTCTATAGTCTGGACTATAGTCTAGTCTATAGTCTGGACTATAGTCTAGTCTATAGTATGGACTATAGTCTAGTCTATAGTCTGGACTATAGTCTAGTCTATAGTTTGGACTATAGTGTAGTGTATAGTCTGGTCTATAGTGTAGTCTATAGTCTGGTCTATAGTGTAGTCTATAGTCTGGTCTATAGTGTAGTCTATAGTCTCTCTATAGTGTAGTCTATAGTCTGGTCTATAGTGTAGTCTATAGTCTGGTCTATAGTGTAGTCTATAGTCTGGTCTATAGTGTAGTCTATAGTCTGGTCTATAGTGTAGTCTATAGTCTGTCTATAGTGTAGTCTATAGTCTGGTCTATAGTGTAGTCTATAGTCTGTACTACAGTCTAGTCTTCAGTCTGGACTATAGTCTAGTCTATAGTCTGGACTATAGTCTAGTCTATAGTTTGGACTATAGTCTAGTCTATAGTCTGGTCTATAGTGTAGTCTATAGTCTGGTCTATAGTCTAGTCTATAGTCTGGTCTATAGTGTAGTCTATAGTCTGGTCTATAGTGTAGTCTATAGTTTGGACTATAGTCTAGTCTATAGTCTGGTCTATAGTGTAGTCTATAGTCTGGTCTATAATGTAGTCTATAGTATGGTCTATAGTGTAGTCTATAGTCTGGTCTATAGTGTAGTCTATAGTCTGGTCTATAGTGTAGTCTATAGTCTGTCTATAGTGTAGTCTATAGTCTGGTCTATAGTGTAGTCTATAGTCTGTACTACAGTCTAGTCTTCAGTCTGGACTATAGTCTAGTCTATAGTCTGGACTATAGTCTAGTCTATAGTTTGGACTATAGTCTAGTCTATAGTCTGGTCTATAGTCTAGTCTATAGTCTGGTCTATAGTCTAGTCTATAGTCTGGTCTATAGTGTAGTCTATAGTCTGGTCTATAATGTAGTCTATAGTATGGTCTATAGTGTAGTCTATAGTCTGTACTACAGTCTAGTCTTCAGTCTGGACTATAGTCTAGTCTATAGTCTGGTCTATAGTGTAGTCTATAGTCTTGTCTATAGTGTAGTCTATAGTGTAGTCTATAGTCTGGTCTATAGTGTAGTCTATAGTCTGTCTATAGTGTAGTCTATAGTCTGGTCTATAGTGTAGTCTATAGTCTGATCTATAGTGTAGTCTATAGTCTGGTCTATAGTGTAGTCTATAGTCTGGTCTATAGTGTAGTCTATAGTCTGTCTATAGTGTAGTCTATAGTCTGGTCTATAGTGTAGTCTATAGTCTGTACTACAGTCTAGTCTTCAGTCTGGACTATAGTCTAGTCTATAGTCTGGACTATAGTCTAGTCTATAGTTTGGACTATAGTCTAGTCTATAGTCTGGTCTATAGTGTAGTCTATAGTCTGGTCTATAGTCTAGTCTATAGTCTGGTCTATAGTGTAGTCTATAGTCTGGTCTATAATGTAGTCTATAGTCTGGTCTATAGTGTAGTCTATAGTCTGTACTACAGTCTAGTCTTCAGTCTGGACTATAGTCTAGTCTATAGTCTGGAGTATAGTCTAGTCTATAGTCTGGATTGTAGTCTAGTCTATAGTCTGGACTATAGTCTAGTCTATAGTCTGGACAATAGTCTAGTCTATAGTCTGGACTAAAGTCCATTCTACAGTCTGGACTATATATGATATAGTATATGAATTAGTCGGACAAATAGGGTAGCCCTGTACTGTTTTCGTATTTTCTTCTAAATGTTTTTAACTTTCGTATTTTCATTGGTCAGCACATTTTAGTTTCCTGCAAATGTTCTAAAAAACTTTTTATTATTTTTTAATATTCCGGAATTCAGACAACCATATATTCTGCTACACCGTCCAGTCATTTGTTCTGAGATTTAATCAAAAACAACTTAATTGAAAAGTAAAAAAACACGCGTAACAGCAAACGATTTTTTTGTTTAAATATTTACTTACCTTCTGATGGTACTTTGATGAAAACATGACCTTCTGGAATGATAGTAACGTCGTGATGCTGTCAACGATGTATCGCGATGTTTGCACATGGTGCGCGAGCCTTCACAAAATAAATACCTAGAGATATGATGAAGAAATATTGGATAAAGGTAAAAGGAGAAATTACAAAAACAAACAAACAGTTGTTAAAAAAAAACTTATAAGTTTTTATGCCATAAGGGATGGATAGTTAAAGTTTCTGAATCTTGTAGTGTGAAAATAAAGTAAAATATATCAGGTTTGTTTAAGGCAAGCATGACAAAGCAAAACTTTTTATTTTCTTATTTAGTATTTATAATAAAGATAAATTATAACTTTTCAATCGTAATTATGCAAATATTAGAAATACGGTTATTTATCATCACAAATGTTATTTAAATACATGCAATTAAAAATTTATTAAATGTTAAATCAAGCTGTAAGTTACTGTTATGGAAAATACAAATTTTGAATACACACTTATTAAAGAGGAAATATACCAATCGTCATCTAAAACGCAAACGGCCCTATCTAACATTTTTAAAATTGTACAGGAGAAGCAAACAACTATTTTAATTGAAAAGTTTGTTTCTATCAACGCGATTTATTTGTAGTCTATAGTCTAGTCTATAGTCTAGTCTATAGTCTAGTCTATAGTCTAGTCTATAGTCTAGTCTATAGTCTAGTGTGTAGTCTAGTCTATAGTCTAGTCTATAGTCTAGTCTATAGTCTAGTCTATAGTCTAGTCTATAGTCTAGTCTATAGTCTAGTCTATAGTCTAGTCTATAGTCTAGTCTATAGTCTAGTCTATAGTCTAGTCTATAGTCTAGTCTATAGTCTAGTCTATAGTCTAGTCTAGTCTATAGTATAGTCTAGTCTATAGTCTAGTCTATAGTCTAGTCTATAGTCTAGTCTATAGTCTAGTCTATAGTCTAGTCTATAGTCTAGTCTATAGTCTAGTCTATAGTCTAGTCTATAGTCTAGTCTATAGTCTAGTCTATAGTCTAGTCTATAGTCCAGTCTATAGTCTAGTCTATAGTCTAGTCTATAGTCTAGTCTGTAGTCTAGTCTATAGTCTATAGTCTAGTCTATAGTCTAACCTATAGTTTAGTCTATAGTCTAGTCTATAGTCTAGCCTATAGTCTAGTCTATAATCTAGCCTATAGTTTAGTCTATAGTCTAGTCTATAGTCTAGTCTATAGTCTAGTCTATATCCTATTCTATAGTCTAGTGTCTAGTCTATAGTCTAGTCTATAGCCTTTTCTATAGTCTAGTGTAAAGTCTTGTCTATAGTCTGGTCTATAGTCTTATCTATAGTCTAGTCTATAGTCTAGTCTATAGTCTAGTCTATAGTCTAGTCTATAGTCTAGTCTATAGTCTAGTCTATAGTCTAGTCTATAGTCTAGTCTATAGTCTAGTCTATAGTCTAGTCTATAGTCTAGTCTATAGTCTAGTCTATAGTCTAGTCTATAGTCTAGTCTATAGTCTAGTCTATAGTCTAGTCTATAGTCTAGTCTATAGTCTAGTCTATAGTCTAGTCTATAGTCTAGTCTATAGTCTAGTCTATAGTCTAGTCTATAGTCTAGTCTATAGTCTAGTCTATAGTCTAGTCTATAGTCTAGTCTATAGTCTAGTCTATAGTCTAGTCTATAGTCTAGTCTAGTCTAGCCTATAGTCCATAGTCTAGTCTATAGTCTAGTCTATAGTCTAGTCTATAGTCTAGTCTATAGTCTAGTCTATAGTCTAGTCTATAGTCTAGTCTATAGTCTAGTCTATAGTCTAGTCTATAGTCTAGTCTATAGTCTAGTCTATAGTCTAGTCTACTATAGTCTAGTCTATAGTCTAGTCTATAGTCTAGTCTATAGTCTAGTCTATAGTCTAGTCTATAGTCTAGTCTATAGTCTAGTCTATAGTCTAGTCTATAGTCTAGTCTATAGTCTAGTCTATAGTCTAGTCTATAGTCTAGTCTATAGTCTAGTCTATAGTCTAGTCTATAGTCTAGTCTATAGTCTAGTCTATAGTCTAGTCTATAGTCTAGTCTATAGTCTAGTCTATAGTCTAGTCTATAGTCTAGTCTATAGTCTAGTCTATAGTCTAGTCTATAGTCTATTCTAAGGTCTAGTCTATAGTCTAGTCTATAGTCTAGTCTATAGTCTAGTCTATAGTCTAGTTATAGTCTAGTCTATAGTCTATTCTAAGGTCTAGTCTATAGTCTAGTCTATAGTCTAGTCTATAGTCTAGTCTATAGTCTGGTCTATAGTCTAGTCTATAGTCTAGTCTATAGTCTAGTCTATAGTCTAGTCTATAGTCTAGTCTATAGTCTAGTCTATAGTCCAGTCTATAGTCTAGTCTATAGTCTAGTCTATAGTCTAGTCTATAGTCTAGTCTATAGTCTAGTCTATAGTCTAGTCTATAGTCTAGTCTATAGTCTAGTCTATAGTCTAGTCTATAGTCTAGTCTATAGTCTAGTCTATAGTCTAGTCTATAGTCTAGTCTATAGTCTAGTCTATAGTCTAGTCTATTGTCTAGTCTATAGTCTAGTCTATAGTCTAGTCTATAGTCTAGTCTATAGTCTAGTCTATAGTCTAGTCTATAGTCTAGTCTATAGTCTAGTCTATAGTCTAGTCTATAGTCTAGTCTATAGTCTAGTCTATAGTCTAGTCTATAGTCTAGTCTATAGTCTAGTCTATAGTCTAGTCTATAGTCTAGTCTATAGTCTAGTCTATAGTCTAGTCTATAGTCTAGTCTATAGTCTAGTCTATAGTCTAGTCTATAGTCTAGTCTATAGTCTAGTCTATAGTCTAGTCTATAGTCTAGTCTATAGTCTAGTCTATAGTCTAGTCTATAGTCTAGTCTATAGTCTAGTCTATAGTCTAGTCTATAGTCTAGTCTAGTCTAGTCTCTAGTATAGTCTATAGTCTAGTCTATAGTCTAGTTATAGTCTAGTCTATAGTCTAGTCTATAGTTATCTATAGTCTAGTCTATAGTCTAGTCTATAGTCTAGTCTATAGTCTAGTCTATAGTCATAGTCTATAGTCTAGTCTATAGTCTAGTCTATAGTCTAGTCTATAGTCTAGTCTATAGTCTAGTCTATAGTCTAGTCTATTGTCTAGTCTATAGTCTAGTCTATAGTCTAGTCTATAGTCTAGTCTACAGTCTAGTCTATAGCCTAGTCTATAGTCTAGTCCATAGTCTAGTCTATAGTCTTATCTATAGTCTAGTCCATAGTCTAGTCCATAGCCTAGTCTATAGTCTAGTCTATAGTCTACAGAGTAGCCTAAAGTCTGGTGTATAATTTAATCTTTAGTTTAGTATCTATTCTGTATTATAGTCTTAAGTCTATTTCATAGTTCGGTCTATAGTGAAGCCTACATTCAAGTCTACATTCTAGTCTAAACTATAGTCTAGTCTGTATTCTAGTTTATATTCAAATTTGTGATATATTTTCTATATTTTAAACATATTTCAACTTTTTAATCAATGTAAAATTTGCTCATACAATTTTACAATGCATTCAAAATTTAATTTGAATTTTCTAACAGTAAGGTCGGTGTCATTCATATGAAATATTTTTATTTTATTTATTATAAAAACTACAATATTACTACTATTATTGTTGTATATTGTTAGATATTTTTATCTTTGTTGTTAGTTCTTTTATTTTATTTTATTACTATTATATTTTCATTTCAATACAACAATCATGTTTCCGTTTCTATGTGTATTAACAAATACCTATTGAAATGCTTTCGAAATGCTCCACTAACAAAATACAATGCCACCGGATTGGCACAACTGTTGGCAAAGGATAAACAGAAACCTACAATACGTAGTACATGCCAAAAATAATTGTAATCGTCCTGGGCAGTAGGCCTGTAAAGAGAAGAAAGAATGAAATACACATCAAATGAATATGAAATACTTAAGTCAAAGATAACTAAAGATAAAATAGTTTAAATCTTGTGTTTTTCAGTGTTAATGAATAGTCTCAGATGATTCTTAGTAGGAAGTATTAAATCTTTTTAGGAATTTAATAAACACAATCCAAAGGCTTTTAATGAATTTTAATGAAATGTGTTTATTGATTAAATGAAGATAATTTCCAGATGTGAGTAAAAAGAGACTTCAGATATAATTAAAGTTAATGTAAATGTATAATTTACTTTATACAATAAAAGATTATTAGATGTTATATTAATGTATATGTAAATACTTATACATATGTATTTAAATGATAAGCAATTAATAATTCTTTATAGAGGACTTTGTAACATTTGCTGCCTTAGCAATACATATTTGAATCATAAGAGTAAAACGAGAAGCGATTAATTTTCATTTGAAAGTATTTTGCAAGAATGAGAAGAAAATATTACACTAAATTATTTAAGTTCCATACCTTGAATATAGTCTAGTCCAAAATTTTAACTATTAAACTACTCTTAACTAACTCTTTGAGTATAGTATATTATTTAAAAGAGAAATACTTGCAATACTTAGTCTAGGTAATACTTGACCTACTTAAATATGTTGCCCAGCCAAAAGTCTAGTCTATAATTTTGTCTATAAACTAGTCTATAGTGCAATCTAAGGTCTAGTCTATAGTCAAGTCCATAGTCAAATCTATAGTCTAGTCTATAGTCATGTATTTAAGTCTATAGTCTGTAGTCTAGTCTATTATCTAGTATATACTTAGTATTGGCTATAGTCTAGTCTATAGTCTAGTCTATAGTCTAGTCTATAGTCTAGTCTATAGTCTAGTCTATAGTCTAGTCTATAGTCCAGTCTATAGTCTAGTCTTTTGTCTAGTCTATAGTTTAGTCAATATTCTAGTCTAAAGTCTAGTCTATAGTCTAGTCTAAAGTCTAGTCTATAGTCTAGTCTATAGTCTAGTCTATACTCTAGTCTATACTCTAGTATATAGTCTAGTCTATAGTCCAGTCTATAGCCTTGTCTATAGTCTAGTCTATAGTCTCGTCTATAGTCTAGTCTATAGTCTAGTCTATAGTCTAGTCTATAGTCTAGTCTATAGTCTAGTCTATAGTCTAGTCTATAGTCAAGTCTATAGTCTAGTCTATAGTCTAATCTATCATCTAGTCTATAGTCTAGTCTATAGTCTAGTCTATAGTCTAGTCTAAAGTCTAGTCTATAGTCTAGTCTATAGTTTAGTCTATAGTCTAGTCTATAGTGTAGTCTATAGTCCAGTCTATAGTCTAGTCTATAGTCTAGTCTATAGTCTAGTCAATAGTCTAGTCTATAGTCTAGTCTAGTCTAGTCTATAGTCTAGTCTATAGTCTAGTCTATAGTCTAGTCTATAGTCTAGTCTATAGTCTAGTCTATAGTCTAGTCTATAGTCTAGTCTATAGTCTAGTCTATAGTCTAGTCTATAGTCTAGTCTATAGTCTAGTCTAGTCTATAGTCTAGTCTATAGTCTAATCTAGTCTAGTCTATAGTCTAGTCTATTGTCTAGTCTATAGTCTAGTCTATAGTCTAGTCTATAGTCTAGTCTATAGTCTAGTCTATAGTCTAGTCTATAGTCTAGTCTATAGTCTAGTCTATAGTCTAGTCTATAGTCTAGTCTATAGTCTAGTCTATAGTCTAGTCTATAGTCTAGTCTATAGTCTAGTCTATAGTCTAGTCTATAGTCTAGTCTATAGTCTAGTCTATAGTCTAGTCTATAGTCTAGTCTATAGTCTAGTCTATAGTCTAGTCTATAGTCTAGTCTATAGTCTAGTCTATAGTCTACTCTATAGTCTAGTCTAATGTCTAGTCTAATGTCTAGTCTATAGTCAAGTCTATAGTCAAGTCTATAACTAGTCTATTGTATAGGCCATAGTCTAGTCTATAGTCTACTTATAGTCTAGTTTATAGTCTGGTCTATAGGCTAGTCTGCAGTCTAGTCAAGTCTATGGTCTAGTTTATGGCCTAGTCTATGGTCTAGAATATTGTCAACTCTATAGTCTAGTCCATAGTCAAGTCTTGTGTCTAGTCTATAGTTTAGTCTATAGTTTGGTCTATAGTTTAGTCTATAGTTTAGTCTATAGTTTAGTCTATAGTCTAGTCTATAGTCTAGTCTATAGTCCAGTCTATAGTCTAGTCTTTTGTCTAGTCTATAGTCCAGTCTATAGTCTAGTCTTTTGTCTAGTCTATAGTTTAGTCAATATTCTAGTCTAAAGTCTAGTCTATAGTCTAGTCTAAAGTCTAGTCTATAGTCTAGTCTATAGTCTAGTCTATAGTCTAGTCTATATTATATTCTATAGTATAGTCTATGGTCTAGTCCATTAGTTAGTCTACAGTCTATAGTCTAGTCTAGAGGCTAGTCTATAGTTTAGTCTATAGTCTAGTCTATAGTCTAGTCTATAGTCTAGTCTATAGGCTAGTCTATAGTTTAGTCTATAGTCTAGCTATACTCTAGTCTATACTCTAGTATATAGTCTAGTCTATAGTCCAGTCTATAGCCTAGTCTATAGTCTAGTCTATAGTCTAGTCTATAGTCTCGTCTATAGTCTAGTCTATAGTCTAGTCTATAGTCTAGTCTATAGTCTCGTCTATAGTCTAGTCTATAGTCTAGTCTATAGTCTAGTCTATAGTCTAGTCTATAGTCTAGTCCTATAGTCTAGTCTATAGTCTAGTCTATAGTCTAGTCTATAGTCTAGTCTATCATCTAGTCTATAGTCTAGTCTAGTCTAGTCTATAGTCTAGTCTACTATAGTCTAGTCTATAGTCTAGTCTATAGTCTAGTCTAGTCTAGTCTAGTCTAGTCTATAGTCTAGTCTATAGTCTAGTCTATAGTCTAGTCTATAGTCTAGTCTATAGTCTAGTCTATAGTCTAGTCTATAGTCTAGTCTATAGTCTAGTCTATAGTCTAGTCTATAGTCTAGTCTATAGTCTAGTCTATAGTCTAGTCTATAGTCTAGTCTATAGTCTAGTCTATAGTCTAGTCTATAGTCTAGTCTATAGTCTAGTCTATAGTCTAGTCTATAGTCTAGTCTAGTCTATAGTCTAGTCTATAGTCTAGTCTATAGTCTAGTCTAGTCTAGTCTATAGTCTAGTCTATAGTCTAGTCTATAGTCTAGTCTATAGTCTAGTCTATAGTCTAGTCTATAGTCTAGTCTATAGACTAGTCTATAGTCAAGTCTTTTCTATAGTCTAGTCTATAATATAGAGGCTCTCTGCTCTTGGTTCCGTTATGTTTTCATTTTTGTTTGTATGACTAAGCAATTGACTAAGTAAACATTTGTAACTTAAAGTGCTTAACTTACCAGTAATAGAACCACAACATGAAAACGTGAATTGGCAGAAAACAAATGCCAAAAATAACCACAAAAGCCAAAACTGTCAATGCCACTTTGCGGCGGGCACGTACCTAGAAAAATAAAAATGAAATTGTAATAATATTTAGATAAAAACTTGTACTTTCTACTATGTTTTGAAAAAGAAAAGTAGATTCTAGGAAAAAAATAATAATTTAAGAATGAAGTAAATTGAAAAGTGAAATGTTGTATATAAATATTAAGACATTTGTGTGAAAGATGAAATTTAAGGAGGTTTTTACTTACACAATCGCATTGGGTTATACTACAGAAATTCTACTATAACTTCACACAATTTATATGATGTATGAGTCTGTAAACAGTTATATGATTAACGAGCGTTGGTGCTCAAATAACTAATGTCATTCTACTTAGACTTTGTGTGTTTTCCATTATAAATTTAATCAAATGCACTATGAGTCAAACATTATGTATGCAGAAAATTTTTGAAAAGACGACTTATTCTAGGCTAAAGACTAGACTATACACTGTAGATTAGACTATAGACTAGACTATAGACTAGACAATAGACTATAGACTAGACTATACACTAGACTATAGACTAGACTATAGACTAGACTATAGACTAGACTATAGACTATAGACTAGACTATAGACTAGACTATAGACTAGACTATAGACTAGACTATAGACTAGACTATAGACTAGACTATAGACTAGACTATAGACTAGACTATAGACTAGACTATAGACTAGACTATAGACTAGACTATAGACTAGACTATAGACTAGACTATAGACTAGACTATAGACTAGACTATAGACTAGACTATAGACTAGACTATAGACTAGACTATAGACTAGACTATAGACTAGACTATAGGCTAGACTATAGACTAGACTATAGGCTAGACTATAGACTAGACTATAGACTAGACTATAGACTAGACTATAGACTAGCCTAGACTATAGACTAGACTATAAACTAGACTATAAACTAGACTATAGACTAGACTATAGACTAGACTATAGACTAGACTATAGACTAGACTAAAGACTAGACTATAGACTAGACTATAGACTAGACTATAGACTAGACTATAGACTAGACTATAGACTAGACTATAGACTAGACTATAGACTAGACTGTAGACTAGACTGTAGACTAGACTGTAGACTAGACTATAGACTAGACTATGGACTAGATTGTAGAATAGACTATATACTAGACTATAGACTAGATGGTAGAATAGACTATATACTAGACTATAGACGAAACTATAGACTAGACAATAGACTAGACTATAGACTAGACTATAGACTAGACTATAGAATAGACTTTAGACTAGACTATAGACTAGACTATAGAATAGACTATAGAATAGACTATAGACTAGACTATAGACTAGACTATAGACTAGACTATAGACACGACCATAGACTAGACTATAGACTAGACTATAGACTAGACTATAGACTAGACTATAGACTAGACTATAGAATAGACTATAGACTGGACTGTAAACTAGAATATAGACTAGACTATACACTAGAGAATAAATGGAATCTAGAATATATATTTTTTTACAAAATTCTATACTTTCCAACCCATAGTGCCTAACATATATGCATATGTATAAGTGTTTAGTAATAATTCAATTTAACTTACCTGTCTAACAGCACCATGCATTTCGCCCGGCACATTTGCTGCATACATCAAATGTCTGGCTATTAAGGCATAAAACACACCAATAATTACCAGTGGTATGGCATAGTAAACTAAAAACCGTAGCAGCACCATTATCTTGGCATACTCTAAACCCCATTCCTCCGGAAATGGATAGCACAAAGAAAACGATTTACTGCTGTTGATTTCAACTTTCTAAACGAGATAAAGAGAAACGAAAAGAAGACATACTTATAAAGACAAACAAGTAAGAAAATGTAAACAAGGATATAAACTTAATGCTTAGAGGCTTTGTCTAAATGTTAAAATTGAAATTAGTTTGTAAATACCTTGACATATGTGCCAATTAAAGCTGGTAGACCACATATAATGGCTAAGACCCAAATTAATAGAGCAATAGCGATGGTCATGCGTGTGGCACGTTTACCACCTCCTGTATATAAGAAAATTTAAATTACGTTTTTGAAATGTTTGAACAAAAAAACTAAATATTTTATTTTCTTACCATGAGCATGAAATTTTCTTAAAGGATCGACTATGGCAAAATAACGATCCCCCGATAAAGCCGTTAGGGTAAAAACTGATACACCTATTGATACATCTTTAAAGAATTCTGATAGTGTACAAAGAAAACTACCCCATGGCCATGAATCTACCGTATAAACTGTAGAGGTTAAGGGTACCGTCGTCACTATCACAAGTAAATCCGCCAGAGCCAGGGAAAATATATAACTGAAAATATAAGATAAACAAACAAACAAGAACTTGATTACAAAATCTTAATATAAATGCAAAACTGAGATTTCTTTGCTGCAAAGGAGATTTTGTTTTTATACCCTACACCACTTTAGTGGGGAGGGTATATTGGATTTGTGCTGATGTTTGTAACGCACAATAATATTGGTCCTATACCCACCTTAAAGTATACCAATCGGCTTAGAATCATTTTCGGAGTCGATTTAGCTATGTCCGTCCGTCTGTCCGTCCGTCCGTCTGTCCGTCCATGTAAACCTTGTAATCAAACTACAGGTCGCAATTTTGAAGATAATTCAATGAAATTTGGCACATGATCTTCTATTGTCCCAGGGACGAGGCCTATTGAAAATGGTTAATATCGGTCCATTATTTCACCTAGCCCCCATACAACTGAACCCCCGAATAGGGCTTGTAAACCTTGTAATCAAACTACAGGTCGCAATTTTGATGATAATTCATTGAAATTTGGCATATGATCTTCTATTGTCTTAGGGACGAAGCCTATTGAAAATTGTTAATATCGGTCCATTATTTCACCTAGCCCCCTTACAACTGAACCCCCGAACAGGGCTTGTAAACCTTGTAATCAAACTACAGGTCGCAATTTTGAAGATAATTCAATGAAATTTGGCAGATGATCTTCTATGGTACCGGAGACGAAGCATACTGAAAATGGTTAACATCGGTCCATTATTTCACCTAGACCCCATACAACTGAACCCGACAAATAGGGATTTTAAGTTTATAATTATGTTTATTATACTCGCATCTCGACAAAAAGCTGCAAAACCAAGTTCTGTACTAGCCTTGATAACTCTCATGAATTTTATAATTATAGGGTCTCATTTGACCATAGCCCCTATACAAATCCCCCTTCAAAATTTGACTTAAATGTCCACAAATTTATTCAACAATAAATGGCTTAAGTATAATTCAAGGCAAGGTGCAATTAAACCTTAGTGCTTTATTATGAAAACTAAATCACATTTTATTTTTGTAACAGGTGTAGGGTATTATATGGTCGGCCTCGCCCGACTATAATTTCTTACTTGTTTTTTTTTAGAAATTTTTAGAATTTTACATTTAATTTAATTGGAAGAACAAAACTCTAAAAATAGTCATTAAAATAGTTTACTGTGAATAATCTCTTTTTGCAAAACTGCTCTTTTCTCAACACAACCATAAATATTCGAATATTCTTTGATGAAGTTCATAAATAAATAAATTTCCAACAATTAACTACATTTTTCTATGGCAACCGATTCTAGTCATAATTGTGGTCAATTTATTTAGAAACAATAAATTTGATATTTTAAACAAATAATAGCAATAGATTGACAAAGTCAACATTTATTGTTCTGCGAAAATAATAAAAATTTATTTGTTAAAGTCATGCAAACGAACGGAAATTTAAATGTAATCCCTTTTTATATTATTGTGGGAGTGAATGAATATTTATTTGCACCCGACAGATCTAAGAATTTTATAAAGACAAAACTGGACCAAGTACTATACAATAGACTTGATTATAGACTAGACAATAGAACATATAAACTAGACTATATAAACTGGACTATAGAATAGACTATAGACTAGACTATAGACTAGACTATAGACTAGACTATAGACTAGACTATAGACTAGACTATAGACTAGACTACAGACTAGACTATAGACCAGACTATGGACTAGACTATAGAATAGACTATAGACTAGACTATAGAATAGACTATAGACTAGACTATAGACTAGACTATAGACTAGACTATTAGACTAGACTATAGACTAGACTATAGACTAGACTATAGACTAGACTATAGACTAGACTATAGACTAGACTATGACTAGACTATAGACTAGACTATAGACTACTATAGACTAGACTATAGACTAGACTATAGACTAGACTATAGACTAACTATAGACTAATAGACTATAGACTAGACTATAGACTAGACTATAGACTAGACTATAGACTAGACTAAGACTAGACTATAGACTAGACTATAGACTAGACTATAGACTAGACTATAGACTAGACTAGACTAGACTATAGACTAGACTATAGACTAGACTATAGACTAGACTATAGACTAGACTATAGACTAGACTATACTAGACTATAGACTAGACTATAGACTAGACTATAGACTAGACTATAGACTAGACTATAGACTAGACTATAGACTAGACTATAGACTAGACTATAGACTAGACTATAGACTAACTATAGACTAGACTATAGATAGACTAGACTATAGACTAGACTATAGACTAGACTATGACTAGACTATAGACTAGACTATAGACTAGACTATAGACTAGACTATAGACTAGACTATAGACTAGACTATAGACTAGACTATAGACTAGACTATAGACTAGACTATAAGACTAGACTATACAAGACTAGACTATAGACTAGACTATAGACTAGACTATAGACTAGACTATAGACTAGACTATAGACTAGACTATAGACTAGACTATAGACTAGACTATAGACTAGACTATAGACTAGACTATAGACTAGACTATAGACTAGAATATAGGCTAGAATATAGACTAGATAGAGACTAGAATATAGACTAGACTACAGACAGGACTATAGACTAGACTATAGACAAGACTATAGACTAGACTACAGACAAGACTATAGACTATAGACTAGACTATAGACTAGACTATAGACTAGACTATAGACTAGACTATAGACTAGACTATAGACTAGACTATAGACTAGACTATAGACTAGACTATAGACTAGACTATAGACTAGACTATAGACTAGACTATAGACTAGACTATAGACTAGACTATAGACTAGACTATAGACTAGACTATAGACTAGACTATAGACTAGACTATAGACTAGACTATAGACTAGACTATAGACTAGACTATAGACTAGACTATAGACTAGACCTATAGACTAGACTATAGACTAGACTATAGACTAGACTATAGACTAGACTATAGACTAGACTATAGACTAGAATATAGACTAGAATATAGACTAGAATATAGACTAGAATATAGACTAGATATAGACTAGACTACAGACAGGACTATAGACTAGACTATAGACAAGACTATAGACTAGACTACAGACAAGACTATAGACTAGACTATAGACTAGACTATAGACTAGACTATAGACTAAACTATAGACTAGACTATAGACTAGACTATAGACTAGACTATAGACTAGACTATAGACTAGACTATAGACTAGACTATAGACTAGACTATAGGCTAGACCATAGACTAGACTATAGGCTAGACTATAGACTAGACTATAGGCTAGACTGTAGGCTAGATTATAGACTAAACTATAGACTGGACTATAGACTAGACTATATAGACTAGACTATATAGACTACACTATATAGACTAGACTATATAGACTAGACTATATAGACTACACTATATAGACTAGACTATATAGACTAGACTATAGACTAGACTAGACTACATAGACTAGACTATATAGACTAGACTATATAGACTAGACTATAGACTAGACTATAGGCTAGACTGTAGGCTAGACTATAGACTAAACTATAGACTGGACTATAGACTAGACTATATAGACTAGACTATATAGACTAGACTATATAGACTAGACTATAGACTAGACTATATAGACTAGACTATATAGACTAGACTATATAGACTAGACTATATAGACTAAACTATATAGACTAGAATATAGACTAGAATATAGACTAGACTACAGACAGGACTATAGACTAGACTATAGACAAGACTATAGACTAGACTACAGACAAGACTATAGACTAGACTATAGACTAGACTATAGACTAGACTATAGACTAGACTATAGACTAGACTATAGACTAGACTATATAGACTATAGACTAGACTATAGACTAGACTATAGGCTAGACCATAGACTAGACTATAGGCTAGACTATAGACTAGACTATAGGCTAGACTGTAGGCTAGACTATAGACTAAACTATAGACTGGACTACAGACTAGACTATATAGACTAGACTATATAGACTACACTATATAGACTAGACTATATAGACTAGATTATATAGACTAGACTAGACTACATAGACTAGACTATATAGACTAGACTATATAGACTAGACTATAGACTAGACTATATAGACTAGACTATATAGACTAGACTATATAGACTAAACTATATAGACTAGAATATATAGACTAGATTATATAGACTAGACTATAGACTAGACTATAGACTAGACTATATAGACTAGACTATATAAACTAGACTATATAGACTAGACTATATAGACTAGACTATATAGACTAGACTATATAGACTAGACTATATAGACTAGACTATATAGACTAGCCTATATAGACTAGACTGTAGACTAAACTATATACTAGACTTTAAACTATAGACTAGGATGTAGACTAGACTATTACACTATATTACACTATAGTGTATAGTGTAGACTAGACCATAGACTAGGCGGTAGACTAAGCAAATCTGTACATTAGCAATATTCTCAGCATTGGGACCGTAATATCCGATCTACAGGGTTTATTTTCCCTAAACGTCCTTGAATTTATTATAGCAAATACCAACGCATTTCTTCCTTAAACAAATATAGACAAAGAAGAGCGAATAACAAAAAAGGATTTCAGATAATAAATTCAGCCATAAATCAAATTGACTGCTAGTTTTATTTGCTTCTTGTTACTGTTATTATTTTAATACAAATAAGTCGCAATCAGTGCATCCCTTGTTTAAACTCCTGTTTATTTTTTCTATTTAAATTTACAGGGGGAATTGAAAGTTGAGATAAAAGAATATTATGTTGAATTGTTTATCATATACTTTAAAAGTTTTGAAATTTTGAGTGACTCATGTGACACTTTTGATTACAATTAATGATGATATTGAAATAAATTTCGATTAAACTATGTATATTAATAAATTAATTCAAAGTTCTTCGCAGAAAATGAAC